CGACTCAAATATGCAAATGAGTAGCCGGGCAAGCCAGACTAAATCAAAACATTATTTAAACTCACTCAAACTTTGCAAAGCAAGAGTTTGGTCTAGTTCACCAGGCTAACGAATCCCAGCTGCTCAGTGGCGGCGCCGGGGGAAGGGGGCGCTATAGCTACCCCTGGATTAGTCCTTGCACCCGCAAGTGAATATTAGATTTGTTTTTTACACTTTAATTTTAATTTAACATGTGGATGCGATAATATTTATCATACAAAACAAAAATAATCAGTAAATTATCATATAGATAGTAAAAACTTAAACCAAAACAGGAAATTGATGTTAACCTTTGACCTCCTTTTCCACCTGTGAACGAGTGAAAGGTAGAGCTAGCTAGTGGTAAGATGGATCAGTTTTTGTTGCCCACATTTCCACGGATTCAGTCAGAAACGAATGAATGTTTGGAAGTGATCTCAGACCCACAAAAACCTACGGATCTGGATGAAGAGAGTCAACCCTCAACCGCCGCAGCAGTCCAGGGTTTTGCCGCTGGAAATGCTAACCCTAACGTTAGCTAACCTTGCTACACTATAGACGGTTTTCTGTGTGGCTGTATGTGTTCATGATTTCATGGAAAAGTCAGTGATTGTTCATTTATATCGATGTATATTAATGATTGTTTCAGGTGTTGTTGAGGTGTTGTGCACGCATGTGTATCTGCTAGTGGCCAGTATACTGTACTGGTTTTATTGGATTTGTCTTCAGCTTTTGACACGGTTGACCATAAAATTCTGTTACATCGACTTCACAATGACTTAGGATTTTCTGGTACGGTTCTGAAGTGGTTTTCTTCCTATTTAAATAACAGCACATTTTCTTTATGTGTAAACAAGATTAGGTCTGAAGTCACATCTTTGCTTCACGGTGTTCCCCAGGGCTCGGTCCTTGGCCCAATTTTGTTTCTTTTATATATTTGCCCTCTTGGGGAGATTATTAAAAACTTTACTAATGTGTCCTGCCATTTATATGTGGATGACTGTATTGCTCTTTCAAAGACACAGAGTTTAACAAGTTAGCTGATCTACTTGATTGCATTGCGCGTATTAAGGACTGGCTAGCCAGTAACTGTCTTCAGTTGAACTCAAGCAAGACCGAAACACTGATCATTGCTCCTGAACAGAAAGTGCTTTTAATCAAACACCTCGGTTCTCTGAGCTCCTCAGTCCAGACCAGTCTCAGAAACCTTGGTGTTCTTTTTGACCAGTCCATGTCTGTGAGCTGCCACTCAAAACATTTAGTAAAGAACTGTTTTTATCATTTGCGAAACGTTTCCAAATTGAGAGCTTTTACTTCAGAATCGGACTTGGAGATGATTATCCATGCTTTTATTTCCTCTCGTCTGGATTATTGTAATTCAGTCTTTACGTGTTTTAACAAATCAGATGTCAGTCGTCTCCAGTTGGTCCAGAACGCTGCAGCAAGGCTTTGAACAGGAACCAATAGAAGGGCTCACATAACACCGGGTTTATCTTCTTTACATCGGCTACCAGTCAAGTTTAGAATTGATTTTAAAATTTTAGTTTTGGCTTTTAGAGCTCTTAATGGACAAGCTCCAATATTTATCAGACCTTTTAATCCCTCACTCTTCTGGCCGCACTCTACGGTCCTCGGGTCAGAACCTACTGAAGGTCCCTAAGACCAGATTTAAAACTAGAGGGGACCGGTCCTTTCAAGCTGTAGCTCCCAGACTTTGGAACGCCCGGCCCTTGTTTCTTCATGTGGCCGACTCTGTTGATTCTTTTGAAAAGCAGCTGAAGACACTTTTATTTAGACAAGCTGTTATGTAAGTTGACCTTGTGCTCCTGTCCTGTTTTGCCTTTTATGTATGTTGTGAGGCACTTTGTGACTTTATCTGTGAAAAGTGCTATATAAATAACTTTTACTTACTAATGTTGAAGGTGTTTTAGAGAACAATAGGTACGCATGACCACTTCCTTCATAGCACCCTCAATAAAAAGACTAGCTCCTTCAGAGCACCTGCAGAAAAACATTCTGGAGCCGCCACTGCAGCTGCGATACGACTAAACACTCATTATCACGTGGGACGACTGCAAACGTTTTCTGCAGGACGGCGGTTTGTTTTTCCCAGCTCTTTGTCTCTGTGTGTACTAAAGGTGATCGTGTTCCATGGCTGCCGGTTCTTTTCCTGGTTGAGGAAGAGCAAACAAGGGCGTTGGCCTTCCCTCGCACCACGTTCGTATGTGCAGCCCTGCAGGTCGTTCCCGCTGCCGGCCCGATCGCAGGTGTGCACTTTTGTTATGTCATGGATTTCCATAAAATCTTAAGCAAATGCACGCAAATGGATTTTCCTTTTCAGCTCACAGATGGAGCAGGAGCGAGAGAAAGCTAGTGCCTTCCCGTGCCCTTGGGTTTCATGCAGCGCGGCAGCAGGGAGGTGTGAAAATGTCACACTCCTTCAGCGCTTTAGCGGAGGAGTTCAAAAATGTGGCCCTTCAGC